ATCTCCAAATGAACTCTTTATGCAAGAAGTTATTAAATTATGCCAATCTAGACAATCTACTTTAGTTTATTTATACCATATTTTATCAGGGAATCAGTTCTATTAGCTATCCCATGAAAAAAGATAAGGAAACCAAGGTGATTTGTAAAGATCTCACAGATTTGCAAAACACCCACAAATATGCCACCTGCATCCTGAAACAAAAATTAATAATTATTGATGAAGGATATGAAACCAGAGATGCTTGTCTTCCTCTTCTGAGTCTGAATCAATTTACTTAAGAAACAATTTAGCTCTGGACAAAAAACATTTCTTAGGTCCAGTACTGCTAACTACCAAGTCGCTTTCAATCAATTTTCAATTTCAACCAATGGATCCTCATTGTTGACAAATTTATAACTATAAGTATAAATAAAATCCGAGAGTAACTCTTTCACAAGATCCATCTTAGCTGTTTAAAACAAACCATAACAGCAATGTGGCTACATAGGCAGCTGTTGGCTTGTGCATGACACATCCACAGCAATCCTTTGAATTTCTGAAAATTCAGAATCGTGGCTATTTTTCAGCACCATGGTCAGTGGCCAATACTCTGCTTTTCTTCAATAAAAGAAATCCAGCCTTCGTTATACTTTTGCAGCATGCCACACACATGTAACATCCTAATGCAGGGGTAGGCAATCTGGCTCTTTTATGATTCATAGACTTCAGTTCCCAGAATTCCTTAGCCAGCATAGCCTACCCCTGACCTAGTGAATGAGAAGCTGCTTCACAGAAGGATACCAAAACAAGTGGGTTAGAAAATATACCAGCCACCTACATTATTCAACCTCCTGAATATTTTAGGTCCTTACAAAAATAGTTGACTAGAGATGTTTCACTAAGGAGGGAGCGATTATAGGGCAGAAATACCGGAAGTCATGAGATGGGAGCATTTCTGTAGGCCAGATTTGACCTACATAAGTATTGGAGATGAGAGAAACCAGTCAGCTTTGTATGATGCAAATGCTCCCCAACTATTGCAAACACTAAAGAGGATGACAGAAAGCATTACTGCAGATCCCAGCACAGAAATCAGATTGGTTTTCCACAATCCCACATGTGCCCTACAATCTCCACCATCCTCCACAGCTAATGCAACACACTCAAGTGATTGTGATAACAACATGGGGATTGAAGGAAGCACATGCTCTGCATTATTTTCCTTAGAAGAAAGGTATAACTTTCTTAAATAATAAATGAATAGTCAGGTTCCATCTAGGAACCTTGGATTGATTTGGATATATTGGAAAGAGAGAGAATTAAGAAGGAAAAAAAGATTACAAGATGTATCAACAAATTATCTAGAGCAGTGTTTCTCAACCTCAGCAACTTGAAGATGTGTGAACTTCAACTCCCAAAATTTCTTCAGCAAGAATCCTGGGAATTGAAGTCCACACATCTTCAAGTTCCTGAGGTTAAGAAACACTGTTCTGGATGCTTAGCAAGGAATGGCACTGCATGTATGAAGTTCAGGAGAAGTAAGCAAGTAAAACTTAAAGTAAACTTGGAGCATAATGCAGGTGGACTAATGGTTGAAAACTCTGTCAGCCACCCATTCTTTTTCAGGCCACCACTCTCCACTCTACATTCATTAATTTGTAACTTTTAGCTAATGCCTTGGCTCTAAATTCACTGGACTAGAAAAGTGTCCCATTGAAATCAATGGGATGTATTCCTCAGTAAATGTGTCAGGTCAAGTTGCCTACATATGCCTCACACCCTCCATTCTTTTGATTCTTTTTCCTCTACCCTCCCTCCATTGTCAGCCAGTCATAGGGAAATTGAGTCAAAGGGCACCAATTCAAGAAAGTCAAGCCCAGATCCCTCACTTAAGCCTTCATCTTTTCATTGAAGGAGCTGAATTCCTGACTTCAGAGGTGAGACCTAGCTTCTAGCTTTTAAGAACAACTCACTGATTTATCAGTTTATGAAAGTGCTAATAATATGTCCTCAACGTCCCCTGGCATATTGGACTAAGTAGGTGGTAGAAAATAATCAAGTTTCTGTAGAGAAAACAGAGGCACCTTGTGCTGCAGAAAAATAAACACCCTGCAAAAGCCATTCAGAGGGGCAGGTAGCAAACAATCTGAGGCAGGTGGGGATCCCAATTTAGACTGCAGTTTTGCAAGGCTGCCTTTTCTTAGAGGGGTGAAGCATGGAGCTATGTGCTATGTGCTTGTGCTTTTGTTCTCAAATAACCAAATTTCTTTTGTTCTACAAATTGCCTCAATAGGGTCTCTTTACTTGCTGGCCAAGAGGCCTCCAACTGACATCAGTTAGCATGACAATTGACTTTTTGGCCCAGTAGCCTCCCTTTGTTTATGGGATGGATGGCAAAAGAGTCAGCTGGAGAAGGCAGAGAAAAGAGAGTCACCATAAATCTATCTAGAGCAAACTCAGTCTGGGGAGTTAATGGTGGAAGAGGAGGAGGGCAGGCTGAAGGGGGGGAGCCAAGATTCATGGCTTTTAAGCTGTGCATTCTTTAACCCAGACAAAGCCCTTAGACTTGGAGAAGGAGGGGCAGTTACTGCAAGAGGAGCAACCATCTTTTTTCTGCAAAAACAAAAAAGTTGATTGGACAAAGACAGACATAGGATATGAATGGCAATTGACTAGAATTCATTTTGCCGAAAGTAATTTGGAGAATGGCAAACTACGTATTGGCTAAGACACATTTTGGATGATCCATACATCTTAATAAACCATATGGGTTTATTCAAGACATTGGACTGTGATGTCACCTGGCACAGGTGTTGAAGCCATATTTATCCCTGTCCAGTAGTGAACAATATATTCCTAGCATCTACTTCCATCCACTTCAGTACTGATCTTTGGTCAAGAAGAAATTGATCTTGTCAATATTGTCACTGCAACAATGGAAGATTCACCAAGTCTCCTATTTGCAGTGTCCAACGATACTCAAACTTTGTTAAGTGGAAAGGGTCAGCAACATATCTGGACTCCAGAGACTGCTTTTGATAAAAACAGACCAAAAAGTGTACACTGAATAGACCAGGGGTAGGCAACCTCAGCTCTTCTATGACTCATGGACCTCAACTCCCAGAATTCCTGAGTCAGCATAGCTATGCTGACTCAGGAATTCTGGGAGTTGAAGTTCATGAGTCATAAAAGAGCCGAGGTTGCCTACCCCTGGAATAAACCATTAACATTCCTAAATCTCAGTAACAAGTGAGAAGAGGAGGGAGAGAGACAAAGATATGATTCAATGTAACAGTATAGTGCAAACAGTTCTTAACTATTATGAAACACTGAAATTAGTGAAGACTGGACTGGCTAAATTGAGAAACACTGTGCTTTCATTATGCTTTTAATGAGAGAGGTTGCACAATCTAGATGTGTTGTGCCTTTTATTTAAGTATGATAATATTAGTTTATTTATCATACTTCCAATTGTGTTCTACCCCTGCCAGAGTATGCAACTGTAAGCAAAATAAAATTGCTAGTGGGTCCTCAAAAATTCCTCCCAGCATCCTACATCAGTGGTTCTCAGCCTGTGGTCCACAGATCCCTGAGGGGGCCTAATGTTGTCATAGGGGGTCCAGAAGAAATGTTATGATTTAAATCTTGAATTAAGTCTTGGGGGTCCATGACCAAAAAGGTATTTAAAGGGGGTCCGTGGTGAAGAAAAAGGTTGGGAAACACTGTCCTATACTGCTGTCCATGCCATCTGGGATTTGCAGGCCCACAAGATTGGAGATCCACAGCTTCTCCCTCCTGAATGAAAGCATCCAATGGGATATAAATCAGTTTCTCATACACAGCTGTATACAGCTGCAGTGAAATATTGATTTTGGCTTCAAAGCTCTCTACTTCCTTTAACTGGCACTGTAACCTACAGCTGGTTGCTTTTTCATTTGTTCTTTTGTTTTTGCCTACTTGATCTAGGAGGAGTTGGTCTGTCAGAAAAATTCTGCTTAAGGTTTTACAGATGAAATCTCCAAGTTTTCTAGCCTGTTAGATGTATTTGGACTGTTGAGGTCATGCTACCCTTACTAATTCTTAAGAATGGCTCTGGGAATGATGGCCCTCTGGAGTCAATGGAAATGTTGAAAGTTGACATTTTGCTTTGCAACCTGCAAGCTTCTCATCTTTTTTTTTAAGTAGTCAGATGGAACAAAAAAAAAAAATCAGTGGATACCATTACAGATCCAAGCATTAGACTGAAGACTCCAGTTCTAAAGAAATTTGGATTCAGAAGGGGAACTTCCATCTGTTTTTTTTCCCCCATAAACAAATTTTACAGTACATACCACTTGATCTAATACAATTCTATTAATCCATTTATTTTAAACAGAAACTAAGGAAAATGGGTGAACAACCTGTTCTTCTCAAATAATTGGCAACTGCTGCTATCAATTGCCTACAATGTTTATATAGTGCAACTGTAAAAGAGAGGAGCACTGAAAAGTGTAGGTTTTCTTGTGTGCTTGTAAAAGGCAGTGGGGAAGACTAGGGAAGTCACATCAGCAGTGGCTGGCACTCCAAAGAAGTCAAGTTGGTTGGAGCAAAAATCCCAAGTCATCTTTATTCCAAAATAAATGATTTCCCACATACACAATAAAAAAATCAAAACTGAAGATTTCAAAGGGAACTTTTATTTCTGGAAAGGATAATCAAAAAAATACCAACCTTTTCCACCCAAAGGTGCCCCAGAATGATTAACTGAATGCCATTCAAAACTCCCTTGTATTTGTGAAGCTTGAAAAGTGGCAAATAAAGATTTCCCAAGAAAATTCAATGTCCCATCGCTAGTGAATATTAATTTTAATCTTTCCCATCACCATTCGCCAAAACATATCATTTATAAATCTTAGGTGCCAAACTTTATATATATATATATATATATATATATATATATATATATATATATATACACACACACACACACACACACACACACACACACATATATATATATATATACACACACACACATACATACATATACATATACACACACATACATTTATATCTTTGTTCTATAATATAATCAATAAATATGAGAATTTTTTATAAATTACAATCTCTCAGTAGAAAAAGGGAAATAGGAAGTTTTACCTAAAAGGAATAGGCATTTCTGATTTCACTCGCACACACTCACACTCAACCCCCCCCCCCATTTCTTAGTTACAAGAGGAACCCAAGATCAAAACAAACATCTTAACAGTCATTATTCCAGAATAACACACACTAATTTAAGTTTATTCATTTGCTATTTCTCATTCTCAAGTAAATCTATTGTGGGACTGAGCTACTGTACTGATTCCTCTAAGTCAGAGTTGGAGATAGATTCATTTTAGAAGTGTCTGGAAGTGCTTGTATCACGCATCTCTAGAGTGATCTTTCCCTCTATCCTACAGAGATGGGGAAGGGATAGAAGGCAAACTAGAAAGATAAAGACAATTGAATAACAAAAGGAGGGGGAAATGGAAGAGCCTTACATATTGATTGTTTTGTGTCCTGGCTACAGGTCTATGCCATTTTCCTGTCAAAATTTTCAGGAGCTGTTTACCCTTGATTTCTTCCTAGGACTGAAAGAGAACGACAGGCCCAAAGTCACCCAGCTAGATTTGTGTCTAAGAGTTAACTAGAATTCAGTCACCCAGTTTCTAGCCTGGCATCTTAACAACTATATCAAACTGGCGTTCATCCATTTGTAGTCCCCAGTAAGTTGATAAAGTCACCTCAAACTGAGCTCAACTTCTGGTGACTGTTATAGACAGGTTCATATAATTTCTTGGTAACAGTACAGAAGTGGTTTGTTATTGCCTTCTTCCAGGGCGTAATTTCCAGTCTTGCCCACAGCCCCAAAATTTTCTATGTAAGTATTTTTCAGTTTTTTAAGATTAGTTAGTTGCTGCCATGCAGCTGGGGCCCTAATTCTTCAAGAAAAGCAACATTCAGAAGAAAAATGCTACTCTCCCACTTTCTCCAGTTTAAATCTATCTATCTGCCTACTTCAGTACCAACTGGTCCCAATAAATCTCATTAAATGCAAGGGGGGTTAGGTTAGAGTAGGCATGCATAGAATTGCACTGCACATCATTTCCTCATATAATAGATAAAAGTAAAAAGGGCTTGGTAATTTATATTAAGTGCTCTTAAGTACTCTCTGGCCAATTTGAGAATAGCGTGTAAAAAGGTAGATTTAGCCATCCTTCAATATAGAGGATTTCTATCAAAGGTAGTGATGATGGAATTTTGATATTCAGAATTAATTAGCTCCCAACTGGGCCAACTGGCAAAGCCCTGAAGTATAACACAGTTTGAACTGAACTCACCAACTTCTAAAGAGCACAAAGCTGATTTGCCTGCAAATGTGCTGGAGGTGGGAGCAGGATGTCTGTTGCCCAACTCAACCAAGAGTTAAATTCTATTGATTTCAATGGGAGAACTGAGTGCATACTTAAATTGGTGGATTGTGCTTCCATCTTATATTCTTAGCAGGCTGTTCACACAAATTGTTTCAAAAGTGCTATTATATCACGTGGACACCTCTCAAAGATGGAAATCACTCTAGCTTGAAAAAGGCAGGTATTGGGAGGGAGGGTTGCAATTCTTTAGAGTTATCTCAAAATGTGTCTCACTAAACTCACCAGTATGTGTGTCTGAGTAGCCTTGCACAGCTCTACATACACAACATAAAATGAGACCACTTTTCCAAGAGAGATGTGCTGCAAATATTTAGAAGACCTTAATTAGCAAAGTGTGACAAGACTTCATTCCAGAGTTTACAGGGGACTCTATGCCTGACTGATTTAAGAGCTAGGCTTAAAGCAGACTTCCCTATTCTTGCTCCCTCCAGATGGCTGAGAATGACCAATTAGCCTGGAACGCACCCTAGCAAAAGTCTTGGCAAAAGCAACTTCAAAAGATGAGTATTCTTCATTTAGTAATTTAAGGATATTCCAAAAGTTTTCAGCTGCAGTGGAATCATATGACAGAAATATTGTTCTAATATTTTAACAATCAAGTAGCCAGCAAATAGTCAGCAGCCGAGGAACTGAATCCCAGCCTGTCAAGGCAATCAGGCAGGCAGGTTTTATGGTTCAATCACACCAGGGAAGAAACTCCTTTGGCAGTGAACCCCAATTCTTTCTATCAGCCCTGCGCCAGGGAAAGGAAGAGAAAGGCCCTGGGAAAAGTGCAGGGAACTGGACAGAGACTTCCTATTTAAGGCAAAGGTGAAGACTCTGAAGGGAGGGACTCTCTCTCCCCACCAGCAGACCTGTGCGCACAGCAACCACTAGGATCCCCGGGGATCCTGGCCTTGATTCGACCTCTAGCGCAAAGGGTAGAGTTCAGACGAAGTCCGGAAAGGCCGCCTGGGTGGGGAGCCTGAGACAGGGAGGGCGGAAAGTGCGCGCGTCCTCCGCAGAGTCACTCGGGCTGAGGCTGCTCCCTTGCGAGCTGGGCGAGTCCCACGGATAGAGCCAAGCGACGGGGCCTTCGGGGTCGCCACCGCAGCCGTCCTGCGGTGGGAAAGCGGCGTCCTGGGTCGGTCCGGCCAGCGCGCTCTGATCGGCCAGGCGGAGGGTCTCGGTGAGCGCCCAGATGTAATTATGGGCAAAGCGGAGCGTCTCGATCTTGGTCAGCTTGGCGTCGTCGGGGAAGGTGGGCAGGACGCCGCGCAACGCATCCAGGGCCGAGTTCAGGTTGTGCATCCGGTTGCGCTCGCGGTCGTTGGCCTTCACGCGGCGGCTCCGCTTGGCTCTGCTCATCCCAAGGCCATCGCTCTTGCCCTTGCCGCGGCCTCGACGGCTTCTGGCCTTGGAGGGGCCGCCTCCCTCGCAGGGCGCTCCGCTGCGGGCCGACCGCTCGCCCGCGGCCTCCAACACAAGCGCGCCAGGACCGGGAGAGGCGGGCGGGCGGGCGGCGGCGCGCGAGGGAGAGGAGGAGGGGAAGGCGTCGTCGTCGTCCGAGATGGCCCAGGAGGGCGTCTCTCCTTCGCTCGTCTCCCGCGAGGCTGGCGAAGAGGCCGTCTGGGGAGACATCCTGAGGGGAGAGCGGGGAGGGCGGAGGCCGCGTTAGAAAAGGGCGAGGCTCTGCCCGGGGAGACCTCTTGGCCCGCGCGCGCGCGCCGCGAAGGAGAAGGACCCGCCAAGCCAGGCGGAGGCTGCCCAGGCCTTCCTTCCCAGGAGCCGGTTCGGCTCTTAGACCCTCTTCGCGGCACTTAGGAGTTGAGTTGCTTCCCTCGCGAGGCCTCTGCGCATAAGCAGAGAGCGTTCGCCTCTGCTGCCCGCTGCGGGAAGACGGGGCTTCGAAGGGCTTCAGCATCTCCTCCGAGAGGCGGCGGGTGCTTCTGCTTACCTGAGCCAGCGCCGAAGCTCTGCCTAGGAAAAAAGCCCAGGCCGGAGGCGAGAGAGAGGAGCGCACCTTCCCCGACGGCAGGAGAAGCAGGCTGCAGGTTGGGCACACGCCTGCCGCGGGGCTCCTTTATAGAGGCCGCTCGGACCCAGTGCGGGATTTCCCCCCCCCCCCGGGCGGCATGGAGATGGGGCTTGTCCCCTCCCTCCCTCCCTCCCTCGCCGCGCCTGCCCGCTTTTTGGCATGCTTAAGCTTATCAGTCTGGCTGGGAGCGTCCCGGCTCCTAGCCGGCCGAGGGAAGCCAATCAGAAAGCCGCTGCTCGCCCCAGCCACGCGAGCCCCTGGCTGGCCGTCGGCCACACAACCCTCCGGTGGGGGAGGTTAGGATTAGGGCGTAGCGTCCTGGGACTGCCAGGCGGATTGTGAGGTGCGAACTTAAGGCCACCATATTTTGTCCCGGGCGCCAGTCGTCACTGAAGGCCACTTCTATCTCACTTGCGCGAGCACCTCTCCCTGAGTGACGCGCGAAGGAATTTTAGGCTTTTTCCTTGGGAAAGGGGCTCTGGCAGTAAGGGCCCCTTTACCAATGAACAGCAGTCTCTTCCTAATGCTGCCCGCACGACAACAGCTTTGTGAGGTTGGTTATCCTGGAAGAAGGTGACAAAGTCTCCATGGTCCAGGAGGACACCACCAGTGTCTGTTTCCTTATTAGACACTTCAAACCAGGGGTCTTCAAACTTGGCCTTTTATGACTTGTGGACTTCAACTCCCAGAATTCCTCAGCCAGTTGCCATCCAGCCATCCAACTATCCAAGGCAATTCTGTTTGCTAGAGCAGATAGTGCCACTGAGAAGGCACAACTCCAGGCTCATAGTTTGTAGAAAGGAACTTGGAGCATTGTCCTCTGTGCTAGATTTGGAGGGGTGAGAGAAAGGTGGTCTCACAAATAGCCTGGCTCCAGATGTGAAACACCACTACAAGCTGCAACAGGAAGAATAGCCACTGGAGCGAATGCCAACTTCTCCATTAAATTATTCACCATAGATAGAATCCACCAGACAAAGGAATCTTTCACAGTTTGTTAAGGAAATACATTTAAGTGAAACTAAAGAGGAAATTCTTTAAACCCTGTTCTTCATTTAAGTTGCTCTTGTGGATCTAGAGCCCTCCAGATGTGTTGAACTCTCAACCAATATGTCCCAAGGTGATAATAACTCAGAACCTACTAACTTTCACACTGCAATGGCAAATTTATCAGTTCATAATTAGTAAGAAATTATGTCAAGGAATTGGCTACATTCACTCTTGTGGCCCATTCCAATAAAGGATTGATATTTAACACAGCTCACTTAAGTTTTATTGCCAAGTCCAATATCATGATTTGTTTGGGATGGAAGGAATGGTTTGCTTAGGTGTTGCCAGAGAAACTCACACCTTTAAACAGCATTATTTTAGCATACAAAAAACAAACGTATCATAAATATATTTCATGTATATAGTTTCCATCTTAGATTTAAGGAATCTAAAGTAATAATCAAGACCATCCAGAAGATCCAAAGTTGTAAGTTCACTTAGCATATTATTCAGGAGACACAAGAATTGTGACAATAAAGCCCACAGAAGCAACAGTGAAAGCAAAAGCTTGACTCTCTGCTTTTACACTTTTACTGCACAAAGATGCAATAGCAAGGATGAACGTTTTATAATCTGTTCTATTGCAAACCTATTCTGATTTTCATGGTCATATTAAGCAAGACACCCAATTAAGATGAGGTTGAAACATCTTCCTAACCAAGAAAAATAAGCAGTCAAAAGAAATCCTTTCACTTCAACCACGACTTATTATTTTGG